AAAAATACACCCTAGCAGAGGTTTTGGCAGGAAGTTGAGGGCTTGGGGCTTCACCTTGGCCTGGCGATCCCTGAAATTGTACAACACAGCTTGGATCTGGACCTGCTCATTCCTGACCACGGAGGAGGGCAACTTAAGGTCCACAAAGAACGATTTCATAACTGTCAGCTCAAAGGGGTCCGAGACACAGAGACCTAAAGCCAGGAGAGCACACTGGGTTTAAGCAGAGGCTTGGTGCGGGGAGGGGCTGGGTAAGGTCACCATACCCCCATTCCCTTAGCACTGAGCTTGCTGGGACTCACCTTGTCCAGCCTTGAGGCTGACCGCCACAAACTGCCATGTGGTGATGGAATCTGGCACGTTCACAGAGATGGGGTAATGGGAGATGCTGTTGTGAGTGAGGAAACATCACTGAGTTTGTGCTGCATGGACAGAGCTTCCGGGTTGGGGGTCGCCATGCAGTGGTTGTGGTCACCATTGAGGATCATCAGGTCACCTCATTAGTGACAGCATCGCTAGAGGGTCATCCTTTTAGGGAATCCACTAAGATGTTTTCCCCATTGTGGGACTGTCCTGAGGCTCAATGTCACTGCTGGGGTCATTGTCCCTGACCAGCATCCACTGATGATTGCAAGGACCTGGGACCAGATTCTGGCATGGAGGCTGATGTCCTACCCCGATTCACTCTTCGGCAGAGTGAACTTCCTCCAGAGCCAACTCTCAGGGAACAAGGTCCGTGCCGGCATGTCATCCAGGAAGAGGTCGTCGAAGTCCTCCTCTTCATCCACTGGAGGGAGCAGGTATGAGGTAGAGTCTCCTTCATGTTTCTTCCATGTTCCACCAGACTCCTTGTGAGATCCTCCTCTCCAACCCTCCATGGCCCATATTACCCCTTAACCTGTCCCATGTCACTCTGTATCCCTCCATGAAGCCCCCACCCTGCATCTCCTGCCATGGCCCCCTCACTTGTCCCCAGACGCAGCTGATCCTCTCGAGCCTCCCGAGTCAGGGTCTCAGACAGATGGCAGCAGTCCAGGAAAGCAGCCACACAGGCTGGACCGTGGCGGACATGCCAGGTCCTCTCCTCACAGGACAGCTCCACTGGGCTTTCCCGGAGCCCAGCCTCACAGCACTTTTGCTCCAGCTCTGTCTTAAACTTGTTCACTGTGGGCCAGAGTCAGAGGGAAAGAGGAGGGTTAGGCAGGACCTAAGGACCATTCACCTTGATGCTATGCACACCTTGCCACTATTTAGCAATGACTCCGTGGTAGATTCTATGCCTAGTGCCTTATCTGTGCCCTTTCTGAAGCCTCATATTGAACTCACATGGTGAGATTCTGACAAGGAAGCTGAGCCACAGAGAGGTGAATTCATTTGTCTGGAGTCAAGGCTTCCAAGTGGCAGAGGTGGGATCAGAATCCATACTGCTTTTTTTTTTTTTTTTTTTGAGACGGAGTAGCACTCTGTCACCCAGGCTGGAGTGCAGTGGCGCAATTTCGGCTTACTGCAAACCTCTGTCTCTC